TCCACCAAAGAATGTCTCTCTTCCCAGGATGTCCCTGGATATCCTGGAAGCAGGCCACGCCCCTAGGGAAATTCCCCTTGGGCAGATTGGCCACTCAGAACACAGTCATCCGATTCCATCATGGGAACAACCACACAGAACTGGGGTCCAGCCAAGTTGACACACAGCTTAAACTATCACAGTGGTTAAACCATTTGGCTGCTAACCAAAAGGTTAGTGGTTTGCACCCACCAGCCATTCTGCAGAGGAGTGATGAGGCAGTCTGCTTCTGTAAAGATTTCCAAACAAAACCAAACTTACTGCCATCCAGTCGATTCCAACTCATAGTGACCCACTTTGGGTTTCTGAGGCAGTTAGTTAATCTTTGTGGAAGTAGATTGTCCAGTCTTCTTTCTGTGGAGGGCTGGTGGGTTTGAACCACCAACCTTCTGATTAGCAATCAAGTGCCTTAGGCATTATGCCACCAGGGCTCCTTTTGAGCCTTAGAAACCCCATGGGCAGTTCTATTCTGTCCTCTAGGATCACTATGAGTCAGAATCAACTTAATAGCAGTAGATTTGGGTTTGTTTTTTTCTGTTGATGACAGAAGAAGGTAGTATTAAAGGATTACAGCATTATGTACTCTTTTCTATGTTTTGATATTTAACTGTATGTTATACTAATATGCAAAGGATAGACATCATTCAGTATAATTGTTGTTATGTTTTGAAACTGACATTACTTCTTTTCTGTTTCTATACTGAAACAAAATTACTATGCCACCTTGAAATTCACCATCTCAAATGTCAAGATAGGTTTTTAATGTTGGTCGATTATTTTAAGTATTGTTTATTTCTTTAAGTTAAGGATTTTTTTTTTCTTTCATGTGTAGTGTTTACGCAAGTGGGGTTACAGAAGATGTGAAGATATATGTTGGATTAAAACCAATAAAAACAATCCTGGGAAGACTAAAACTTTAGATCCAAAGGCTGTCTTCCAGAGAACAAAGGTATTATCCTTACTGTTTTGTTTAGTTTTTATTATTTTCTCTCAAGTTTTCACAAATTACTAAGTCTTCAATTAATTGCTAGAAAGGTCCTTTTCTTAGACTTGTAAAAATGTCATTAAACATTACAAGAATACATCTGGATTAATTTTAATAACTTTTTTCACTATGTTAGAGTAGCTTCTATTATGTTAGAGAGGGGAGATACCTTCCTACATTTCCTAAACTGCTATAATTCAAAGTCAGAAATAGGCTTTTTGTACTCCTGATCCCCAGATTATTTTCTTTCTCTGCCCACAAAGAAGAGATATCAGTAAAACTGATAGTTGGCTAGCTTAGAGGCATATTTCTCTCCCTTCTTTGCTACTCAATCCTTAGGACCT